AGTTGGGATGTTTAGTGTGTGTGTGTGTGTGTGTGTGTGTGTGAGATTTATTTTGGCATGGATAATATGCATAGTAAAAAAAAGACCTATATCTAACGATGATACAAGACCACATTCACATTCCACATATTTTTGTATGTTTATTTCTTGTTCCAGCTTTGTGCCCATTTTCCTCTATACCACTTTAAATATATATTTATTTTTACATATTCCTATTTTTGTAAATTTCCCCATATAATTTTGAGAATTAAACTTGGTGTAAAACAACAAAAAGGCTTGGTGTTCAATTAAATAATTATGTACTAAACACATGTTATGTGGCAAGTAAAACTGTGGACCCTGCAGATAAAGTGATTGGCAAAGTGCATGTAGTACCTACATTTTCTGATATTAAAGTCTAGTTAGAGTTTCCCAAACAGCCCAGAGGGGGTGACATTATTCAATTAATAAAATCTATAAAAGATCTTTAAAATTTTTCTGATACCTTTTAAGAAAGAGAGTCCCAAAAGTTGTATTACATTAATCTCCTCCTTGCTAGTTGTAAAAAGTTAAAATGTAAGGTTATGTTAATATTTTAAATATGAGGACCAGCAGTTAGTGTAATGGCTATGTTGCTGGACTCCCATGTAGTCAACCATGGTTTGAGTCCCGGACTCAGTGGCTTAAACTCACACCAGGCACATATGCATGCATGCACAAGACCCTAAGAGGAGAATAGAGGAGAAGGGATTGTGGCATGGCCATCCTTCCTGGGGGGTGATTTCTCGCTTTCTGTCTCTCAGTCTCTCTCTGTCTGTCTGGTGAGCGCACTCGCCCTATAGAAAAACCTCTCCAAAAAAAAAAAAAAAGATTTTAATATGAAGAATAAATCAGATATCCACAGTTCACACAAAGTCAGTTTTGTTGTACTGGGTAATTATGTCTTTAGTGTTTTTGATGATTTGGGGCATTAAAAAAAAATCCAAGAATCTGATTTGCGTCAGGTATTAAGTTACACTCAGAATGGACTATGAAAGTTTAAATAATACGTAGTTCCTACCCTCAAGGAGTTTATGAACTAGTTGGGAGAATAACAAGCAAAAAGACAAAAATGAAAATAATGGCAGATCTAGGATGCTATGTGACCTAAATGGTTTTGACTATAGTATTACATATGATTTCTGTCAGTCACCAATTTGGGAGGGCAATACTTTTTTTTTTAAGAATTGTTTTATTTATTTATTCATTTATTTTAATTTGACCAGATAGAAACACACACACAGAAAGAGAGAGAGAGAAAGCACATCGCCAGGTCTGGGACTGGAGCCGTGGTTGGCCATGTGGGAGTGTCTAGTGCCTTAACCACCATGCCACCTGCTGGTCCCCACAGGGCAATATTTTAAGAGCAGAAATATTTACTACCTTAACTGTGGTTGAACTGGGTTAGCTATGACTGTGTTCTAAATGATATGGTCTTGTCAGAATAGTGATTGATAATCCCCTTTGAACATCTATCTGACTGGGACAGATATAACAACTTGTCCCCGCCCTGTTTGCACACAAAAATGGTTTCAAAATAACCACAAGCCCTGCAGTCTAACCACAAATCATTCTCCCTAACAAGTCTCTGACATGACACTTAGATGTACAAAGACCGGGTAAAGTTCTTTGTTATACATCCAGTCAAAACATGATAATTTTCATTTAAAGAATGCTTAGCCAGGGACCATGACTGATGCTCACAAGGACTCAAAACCATAGCAGTGTGTCTTAAGTTTTTTAGGTGCTATAAGGCATATGTTCTCACAAGTGAGAGATTGAAAAAGGGGCCAAGTGAGAGGAAGAAAGCACTTTGCTGATTGGGCACAATCACTTCTCCATTTATTCCATATTGTTAGGATTCTGGGCATGAACTCACATACCGGGAATGTTTCCTAAATTGCTGTGGGCAGCATTCAATCTGTGGTCAGTCATGTGAGGTCTGGTTTCCCTTAACCATCAAGCTACAGGGCTGGCCCAAAACCATTGCACTGGATTTTAGTGAAGAGGAACTCTCATCCTCCCCTAGTGTCATGCTGAGAATCTAGGAAGGGACCACAACCCTTCCATAAAAATAGGGTCTATGTATTTTAAAAAGTTAAATATTCATGCGGAATCTGATGCATTCTAAAATGGATACATGTGACACAGTAGTTAAGATACTGGATTCCCACATGATTTACTGTGGTTCAAGTCCTGGACCCAGTGGTTTGAAACTCACACTGGGTGCATATGTGTGTGTGTGTGCCCAAAATCGCAAGAAGAGAATGGAGGAGAAGGGATTGTGGCATGGTCGTCCCCCATGGAGGGTGAATTCTTTCTTTCCCTCTCTCTGGTAAGCTCACATGCTTTATGATAAAAACAAAACAAAACAAAACAAAAAAGATCTCAAAATGAGTATATAAATACTAGTTTTCAAAACAGGCAAAGGAGTTTGGTTAGTAAGGAGAAACTAAACTCTAGAGCTACTCATCAGTTTACGAATTTAGTCAAGTCAAAAAAATCTTTCCATGAGAATCTTATTAAATAGATTGCACTAAAAATAATAAGATTTCTTCTGACTCTAATATTTTATTTATTGCTAATTTCCTCATACAAATACATAAAAATCAAATGCAATTATGTTCACCTAGAAAAGACAGTTTCCTTCAAGTATAGTAAAGTGTCCATTCCAGAGCAGGCTTAGAAAAGTGATGTTTGATTAGGAATCTTACCAATTTAGAACTGGCAGGTGCATGGTAGTTGAGGTGCTAGATTCCCACATGGTCAACTGTAATTTGAGTCTCAGACCTGGTGGCTTATTTCCTCACTCTCGCTATCTCTTGCTTTGTCTCTCAGTGGTCCAATTAAAAAAGTAATAATGATAGCATTAAATTATTCTTTTTTTAAGGAATCTTAGCAATTTGGGGCCAGCAGGTGGTATGGTGGTTTAGGCACTGGACTTTCACATGGGCATGTGCCAGACAGGTGGCTTGAAAATCCCATTGAATGCATGTACATGCATGGTGCCCACAATCCCAAGAGAAGAACAGTGAAGGGATTGAGGTGTGACCATCCCTCAAGGGGATAATATCTCAATTTCCCTGTCTCTGTCTTTCTCTGCCTCTCTCCAGTACGAACATGCACCCTTAGCAATTTGAATCTTAGCAATTTGACTTTTTGAAGAGCTCAGGAAAATAACTATAGGCTAAAAGTTAAAGGAAATGTTAAGAAAATTGTGTGCCAACATTAGTAAGGTATTTATGTATAGTATGCCACTTAATCCTCATAAATTGTGAATTTGTTATCTCCATTCATTGTTATCCCTGTTCACAAGTGCTAAAAGCAATGATTAGAGGGATTAGATAATTTACTGATTGTCACAAACTAGTGAGATGTAAAATAGATTTAATAATGGTTTTATGGTTCTACTGTGGTGGTTTCATATACCTACCACCCATTTCCTTTCACTCATTAGAACTAAAACCTTTTTACAAAATAAGACAACAACAAAAAACTTCTGAGAAATTAAAACCTAGACAAAAGCAACAGTCTATAAAGAGGAAAGATGCCTTAGAGAGGGATACCATATAGAGATGAGTTTTAAGTTTTCTTTTCTCTTTTCTTTTTGTAGATTTTCTCATAACTCTGCCTTGAGAAAAGACTCCACCCTGGAAATGGCATGGGCAACTAATACTCTCATAATAAACCTGTTTTCCTTTTGGTCAAAGAAAATACAGAATAGAAGCTATGAGACAAAGAATAAGGAGGAAATCTTGGAAGGATTATAACAGAAAAAGAAGACCCTCAAATATTGTACATCAACCTATACACCTAGAGCATGAACCGGTATGTGTGGACCACAAAAACAATGCAACGGAGGCTAAGAGAACTAACCCAAGATGTGAGCAATGTCCCACTGAAAGTGATGCCAAATTTTATTGTATCTGGTTAACCCAATCAGATTGATTATTAAGAAAACAAAAACTTCAATATTCTCCAAAGAATTACAACACCCAGAGCCTATATAATATCACATTCAAAAGTATTCAGTATACAGATAACCAAAAAATTTGACCCAGTCTCAAAGGAGTTATAGTCATAAGAGTTTCTGATCTTGAAAATAGAGCAATAGAGATGATAAAATATAAAAGAGAGAGAATTTTGTTTTAGAAAAGAAAAGAACCAAGATTTAAGATTTTGTGGACGTTACTTTAAGGGCAATGATATAACTAAAATCCCAGTAGAAGAAGAGAAGAATACTGAGGTAAAAAACACATTTTAATGGATAATGGCCCAAGCCTTCCCAATTTTTTAGAAGTTAAAAAAAACAATGAATAGATACAATGAGCTCACATAAAATAGGTTCTGCTAACCCCATATAAAATAAACTGAATAAAACTATATTGAAGTAAAGAGTAACTGAACTGAGGAAAATCAAAGCTAAATAATAATATCTTGAAAGTAATTAGAAAAAAATGACATATTTTATAGGGGAAAGCTTTTCAGAATAAATATAGAATTTATAGGTTTCATCGCAGAAATAATTCCAGCCAAAATACAAGGAAATAACTTTAATATACTGAAGTAATAATTTTTTATTTAACTTTATTTATTTTTATTTATTTATTTTCATTAGACCAGAGAGGGACTGAGCAAGAGAGAGCGGGAAAGTGAGAAAGCAAGCTGCCAGGTCTGGGACTCAAACCATGGTCGGCCATGTGGGAGTCCAGTACCCTTAGCCATCACACCAATTGCTGGCCCTGAAATAGTTACTTTTTAAAAATTGTCAATTTAGACTTCTTTCTTCAACAAAAATACCTTTCAGAAATGCAGGTAGAATAAACACATTTTCTGTAAAGAACCACTAAGACAATTTGATGCAAGAAAACCTTTTGCTCTATAATAAATGGTAAAGGAAGTTTTTCGGACTGAAAGGAAATGATGCAAGAGCAGCTCACAGTATCAGTCACTAATCAAGAACACTACAAATGGTAAGTGCAGTCTTGTACCAAAGGAGAGAGGGTTAGCTTTCTCCTTGACAAGGATGGAAGCGGCCCTCGGACCTGACAACACAGAAGCAGGTAAGGCATTGCCACCTACTTCCTGGCATTGAACCAATATTTTGGGGGAACCAGCAAATGGCGCAAGGTTATGTCACTGTACTCCAATGTAACCAACCATGCTTCAAGTCCCAGACCTGGCAGCTTAAAACTCACACAGGGTGCTTGTGCCTGCATTCCCAAGATCCTGAGAGGAGAATGGAGGCGAATGGATTACAGCATGGCTATCTCCCCTAGGGATAATATCTCAATTTCTGTTTCTCTGTCTCTCTGTCAAGTTCACACACCCTATAGCAAAAATATCTCTCAAAAAAAAAAAAAAGAAAAAGAAAAGAAATGGTAAATATGCAGATAGATATAGAATGCTATTATCCTTTTATACTCTTTAAAATAAATATGTCTGTTTAAAGCAAACATTATAACGTTGTTTGGCATAACTTTCAACATATACATTGTGTTGTTGGGAAAGTCATGATGCATTTTTGCATAGAAAAGTACATCATTTCCTAATGACCTAATTGATGAACATTGTGTATGGAAATACGCTACACATGACAGCTATACAACGAGGACATCAGGAGGGAGAGTTAGCATATTTATCCTTTACGGTCACAAAAGTTCTACATTTTACACCAAGTAATGCAATCTAAACACTATACTGAATGTATATGCATACACGTGCACACAAACAAACACACATTCACACACATACAGGCATCCACATATGTACATACCCATGAATATGTATACATAAGGGAACTTCAAAAAGTTTATGCAAAAATAGAATTAAGGTATGAGTATATTTTGGTATAAACTATTTAAAATCCAGGCACAGTTTTTTTTTTTTTTTTTGAGAGGTTTTCGCTATAGGGTGCATGCGCTCACCAGACAGACAGAGAGACTCATAGAGACAGAAAGCGAGAAATCACCCCCACATAGCCATTACGCTAACTGCTGGTCCCGCACAGTTTTTTCATAACTTGAATTTTAATGTACCTTTTGAAGTCCCTTTATAAATACATGAGAATTGTCTGCCCTTCTACTGCCAGAGTGATATATATATATATACATATATATATATATATAATATTCACACACATATATGTACACATACATACATACATACATACATATCTCACAAAAGTACAGCTAAAAGTCAATAAGTTAAGTTACAACATATTGTTAACAATATTCAAATACTGCAAAGAAAGGTAGTAAACAGGACAATGGAGAACAAAATAAAAAGTAGAAGCCAAAGAGAAAGAAATTTAAAAAATCATTCAGTTAAATCTAACAATATCAGTAATTGTATTAAGTGATAATGATTTGAATGTTTCAGCTAAAAAGCATATATTAAAGAAGATCCTAATAAAAGACATACGTTTATTAGTTGAAAGACAAGTTTTTAAAAGATTTTTGCTATAGAGTACATGTGCTCACTGGAGAGAGAGAGAGAGAGCGAGAGGGTGAGAAATCTCCCCTCAACAGGGATGGTCATACTGCAATCCTTTCCCTTTATTCTCCTCTTGGGGTTTTGGGCATGCATGCACATGTGCAAGGCATGTTTTTCAAACTACAGGGCCCAAAATCTGAAGCATGATCAGTCATGTGGGATTCTAGACTTTAACCACCATGCCATGTGCTGGTCACAAAAGACAGCATTTTAAAGATTGCAGTTCTCTCCAGATTTACTTTTAGAATCAATACAATCTTTTTTTTTTTTTAGAGAGAGATTTTTTGCTATAGGGTGTGTGTGCTTGCCAGAAAAACAGAGAGACAAAAAGTGAGAAATTACCCCCCAGGGGGGATGGCCACATCATAATCCCTTCTCCTCCATTTTTCTCTCAGGATCTTGGGCACACACACATATGTACCCGTTGTGAGTTTAAGCCACCGGGTCTGGGACTCGAACCATGGTCGACTACATGGAAGTCCAGAGACATAGCCTTTACGTAAACTGCTGGTCCCGAGTCTTAACATAAATTCTAGCAGATTTTGTATTGTAGAACTTAATGAATTAACTTTAAAATGTATATGGAAATGTAATGGCTCTAGAAAAATTACATCGTAAAAAGAATGATGAAGTACTTACCTACCTGATTTCAAAACTAATTATGAAGTTCATAAGAGTTCAAATGAGGCAACAAAAGTAAAAATAAACAATGAGACTACATCAAAGCAAACTTTTTCTGCACAGTAGAGGAAACAATAGTATAAAAAGGGAACTGAAGAAAAGGGAGCTATACACCCAATAAGAGTTTACTACCCAAAATATAAGAAGCATATGCAGTAGTACACCCTGGGTAATACCATTACTTGGCAGGCTACATGGGAGGTCTAGGTTGGATTCCTAGCCTACCCAAAAACCCAGGCATGATGATGTGTGCCTGTAGTCTCAGCTACCCCAGAGCTAAGGAAGAAGGAATGTGTTTGAGGACAGTGTGAACAACACAGCAAAACACTGGCTAAAAGAGAAGAGCATAGTGATGCATATCTGTATTTTGTTTTCCCAGCTAACCAGGAGGTTGAAGTAAAAAAACATGATAGAGTGAGACCCTAACAAAGAAAGGAAAAGAAAATCCTGCAATGTGTTATTTGCAAAGGCTAAGACTTGAGGACAGAATGCTTAGTGAAATAAGCCAAACATAGAATGATAAACACTGCATGATCTTGCTTATATGTTGAATCTAAATAAGTCAATGCATAGTATCAAAAAGTAAAATGGTGGTTACCAGGGGTAGGGGTCGGGTAAAGGGGAGCTATTGATCAAGGGTAAAAACTTTCAGTTACAAGTAGAATAAGTACCAGAGACCTAATATATAGCATAGTGACAATTATTAATAATATATGATCATTTGAAAATTGCTGAGAGACCAGGTATCAAGTGGTCTCACCATACAAACACACACACAAATGGTAATTATGTGAGGTGACTGATACGTTAATTGGCTTGACTGTGCTAATCATTTCACCGTGTATACCCCTATCAAAACATCAGGCTTGCTCTTCGGTGCAGTAATAATTAGCTGCTCAGGAGAAGTTAGATCGTACATGGCAACTGTGTTTTGAAAACTGTCTATTCAGCCTAAAATATGCCAGGTATGTGTGCCCAGGGTCTGATAGCCTTAAAGACTGGAGGAAGGAGATTGCATCATGACCTGACCCTCTGGAGGGTGCTTCTCTCTGCCTCTCTATAGAGTGTACACTCCATCGTGGATTAACAAAATCAGACTGTATACTCTAAATGTATATATCTACTTATAATTCAAGCATTCCTCAATAAAGCTGAGGGGGAAAGTTAATGGTAATCAAGATCATTTGATTAGTGCAAAAAAGACATGTATCAATGAAATACACAGTCCAGAAATCGGTCCACATAAGGTAATCAATCGATTTTTTATGAAGATGACAAAACAATTAAATAGGATAGAAACCATCTTTCCAACAAATCACGATAGTTGGGACAGTTATACATACAATTTTAGAGTGCAGAAGTATGTAACATAAAATGAAAAATTACTAAATTAGAGTTCACCAAATTAGAAATGTTTACTCTTCAAAAAGATGTCATTAAGAGAAAGAAAATGCAAACCTCCAACTAGGAGAAAATATTTGCTACATGTATAACCTATGTAGAATTTAAAAGGATTCTTACTACTGAAAAATAAGAAGATAAAGAACACCAAAAGGATTCTAACCATTCTAAAAAGAAGATATACACACAGTCATTAAGCTCATCAGAGTTTGTTCAGTATCATAAATCATCAGAGAACTGCAAACTAAAACCACAATGAGATCCTCCTGCATGCCACTTAGGATTAGCCTGTATGTTGAGCAGTGGAATTCTAATAGGCTGCTGTCGAATATGTAAAATGTCATAATCCTCTCAAAAAATGTTTTGTCAAGTTCTTGAAAAAGGAAAATGGAAGGGCCAGTCAGTGGCAAGGTGGCTGGATTCTGCATGGTGATGGTGTGCTTCAAGTCTCGATCCCAGTAGCTTGAGAAAGGTGCCAGGCACATGTGCCCAGAATTCTGAGAGGAGAATGGAGGAGGAGGGATTGTGGCTTGGCTGTGCCCCCTGGTGAGAGGAGAATGGAGGAGGAGGGATTGTGACTTGGCTGTGCCCCCTGGAGTGTGTTTTCTCTCCTCTCTCTCTCTCTCTCTCCCTTGAGCACATGCACCCTGGCGGTGGTGGGGGAAGAAAGGTAAAGGTAAAGTTATACCTCCCATGTGATCCAGTCATTCTACTTTAAGACATTTTATACAAGAAAATAAAAACTTACATTTACAGAAAGTCTTGCTTATAGTAGTTTTATTTGTAATAGCTTAAAATGAGAAACAATTCAAATATTCATGAATAATGAGTAAACAGATTACAGAACACTCATATATATATGTACTCATATATATATATGTGCTTAGAAATGTGTACTCATATATATATATATACTCATATATATATATGTACTCATATATATATGTACTCATATATATATGCTATAATATATGTTATTGAAACATACAAAACAGGTTTGATCTCAAAATCACTGAAGAAAATCACAGGCAAAAAAGAATATGTTGGATAAGTCCATTGATAAAAAATATTTTAAAAATATATATTAACATGTAGTAATAAAAGCTATATTAATATTTTCCTAAAGATGGGGGTAGGGAGAAAAGCATTGCTAAGGGGCACCAGGAAACGATGTTAGATGTTGGCGATATTAGTAATCTTGGGGGCAGTGGTAGCTTTGTGAGTGTAGACATGTATCAAAACCTGACAAATTGTAGTTTAACTATGTGCAATTTATTATAATTAATTATACCTTAATATAGTTGCCCATTTGAATCTAAAATCAACAATGTCTTTCTACATCCCATAATATCTTGGTAAAGTTAAATGTACTCATATTCTGAATAAGCTAGCTCCATGTGCTCAAGAAATAATTTCTTCAGATGCCTACCCAAATGTTATAGCATTATTTCCATGTTTAGAAGTCAATATATATTTTATAAACATTTAAATAATGCTATTTTTTTAACTTTTATTATTCTAAAGGGATTGG